GAGCTAAGAAAATGTTTATCTCTCTGAGCCTGGCCTTCATAATTCCATTCCATCACAGAAAGCAACCAGTAGTGACCACAGGGAAGTTGCCAGGGTTTCCCAGGCTTCACTATCGGCACAGCTGACTCAGCAACTCTTCCCTTGCTTGTGCCCTCCTTCCTTAAGAGTTGTTCTTCCTCTATATCATCTCTTGGAACCCCCACACTTGGACAACCATGTCTGGACACCAAAAATCAATGCAATTGCCAGACTCTCAACTCTGCGCCACATAGGAGATTTCTACAACCCAGATATTGTTGGTAGTCTACCCACACAATCAGGTTTTTTGACAGCATATTGCAAGGGGAAGCCTGGTTGGGTCTTGGTGCCTATAGGCCCATGCCTTTGTATATTTATATCACTGACTCAACCTCCATTCATACCTTTAGTATGAATATAACTTGGATGGAACAATTAACCAAGAGCACCAGTGTGGATTGAGCAAACTGTTCTGTATTCAAAGCCAAAAACAGCTTACCTGCATGTTTTTTCATTAAATGTCTTATGTTTCTGAGAACAGCTTTCCTGGTTCTCAGTGCACAAGTAACAGCTGCAGTTTTCTTTGTTCTGAAATAAATTGCCAGTGCATTTCCATTTACAGAAGCACTCACAGTTTTCTTCATCGAAGTCCATATTTGGTGCACACATAGCAAGTTCAGCAAGTGGAGGGAGTCCTGGCACAAAATACACATTTTGCAGAAAAGAGAGGCAGATTTATATACTCATCCCTTGTTCCCTGAAAGTGTTTTTTTAAATGTTGGCAGATCATCATTTTGCTAAAGGTCACAGAAATAGGGTGCAATTCCAAGACATTACCCTACAGATTTAGAACAGTTGGACTGAATTTGTAAAAAGCAGTCCTAAATTCCTAGGAATTTGAAGTGCTATCAACATCTAGCTAGGATTGTAGAATGCATGTTTTTAAAAGTTCATGTTATTATTCTAGCAGAAATGAATCAGGATTCTGTGTAGATTCAGATTATATTTGTTAAAGATCATATCTTCCAATTTATAATAGAATTCAGAGATATAATTTACCAGTGGGTATACCCACAGAATGTTTGAGCACAACAGCCTGATAATATCTCTCAGGATATACTGTTGAAATTAAGGCCAAAAAACCATGTTAAACTCCAAGCTTGTTCTATTCATCTTGATAATTAATTGCAGTCACAATGATGTGCTGAGATAGAAACACAATTAGCCTAAACCATTGTTTTGAACAGAAATCATATGCCTCATCACAGAGAAAGAGCTCTTGAAATTTCTCGAAATGTTTAACGGAAGTTTATTCATTATATAGATAATCATCAACATTATTCCAAACCTTGCTAGAAATGGTTTGCAGGGCAAATTTTATGCTGTGATTAGAGGTAGCCCTCGAGCTAAACATCCACCAGTTTCAGTTGTATTCTCATTTTAAGTGATCAGGTTCATGTTTTTCTCTCTTAATATAAATGTTGAAATAGATATGCAAGGAAGATTAAACAATACTACATTTATGCTTATCAGAGGGATTTAGAATGAAATGAAAAATTGTTTTCCTTGAAACAAAATACACCGACTACTTTCACCACTGAAATATGAAAAGCAATATCTGGGTACTTCCAAATCAGCTTTTCTCAAACTGGTGCCCTCCAGATGTGTTCCATTACGATACCCATATTACACTTCCCTCATTACAATTCCACTCAGCAAGGAACTACCACTGACATTGAAAATGATAGAAGTTGTAATCTAACATATCCAGAAGCACCAGTTTGGGGGGAAAGCTTTACAGATGGATAGCTCCTGTACTGCTTATAAAAATGCATCACATTGCAGTGCGGTTTTTCCTCCTATTTTGGTGGTAAATAAAATGCTGGAAAAAGTGATACAAAATACAGGAGGCTTGCATAAGGAAGGGAACATTTGGACCTTCCTCTAATATTCAATGTACAAGCAGGTCAGTTATGCTGTAGGAGTGTTGTCTGAAGGAATATAATAATCAGATTGTAATTTTCCATACAGTAACCTGGGGAAAAGTTGCATTGAATGGCAAGACACTTACTTCTGAATAGATATGCCTTGATTATTCTGTTGAGATTTATACTTAATGAATATAGCAGACTGATATGTATTTATATTTAGAAATATTTATAATAAGCCAAAATCACAATGGACTATAGTTAATAACTGGGGGGGGGGCTTTTTATATAATGGAATTATATGTACCTTCCCTTCTGTCAGGATGATCTTTGTCTATTACACATTCACATTTCTCACTGTCCCATGTCCATCCGCCATGACACAGCTTATTTAAATAGGGGCAACTAAAAGAAAACAGAATGCAAATTAAATATTTTAAGGTCATACAGTATTGACAAAGTTGCTCAAATTGAAATGTAAACATGTCCTTCAAAAATCAGTTCAGCAGACAATTTCATAGGTTGGCTGGGCATCTCCTGTATTCAGACACAATTCTGAAATGTGCCTAACTTTAAAACATGCACAGAAAAACTCATTAGCATCAAAGGAACAATTCCAAGAATTATGCCTGCTACATCATCAAACCAAGGCTTCAAAGTATACTCCAACTGCTTGCTGTTTCTTAATTTACCACAGATGCTTCTGTTCATTTTTATTTTTTAGCTAACTTAGTAAATATTAAAAGATGCCATAGTAAGTAAAAACTGCTGTTAAAAGAAGTGTGGTTCTTGTATAGGTAACCCATATTACATTGTTTTTCCAAGCAGTCATTAGACCATTCTTTATAATGTTGAAAACCACATGCTTTTTCATATATTACTAATCACTGAACAAAATTTATAATTTCTGGACAATCTCAGAAATGCTTCCTGGTTATCTGTTGTTAACAAAATAGAGACATAAAGATAAAGTAAGAGAGACTATCTTACCGAACTTCCTCTGGATATTGGATAGATCTTCGTATGACAGTATATATTTGGCGCTGAAGGTCTGTGGAACATTTACAACCAGTGTGATTTGCAATTTTGACCTGAATTGGGTCAGGCACATTTGTAATAGGTACTGAAATTTCAAAAAGCTGGAAAATAGTGAAAAATTGAACTATAGTTATTCTTTTTTATTACTAATACTATCATTGATTTTATAACTTTTCCTCAAACAAAAGGGAAAATTGCTTTTTATGTTTAAAAACTTTATGAGCATCCTTTTCTAATACACTCATATGAATTATTCATTCATTCATTTATTGTCTGATTTATACCCTCATGGTTCTGGCAAGCCAACAGTACAAAAATGAATAGTATTAAGTAACAACAGTACATATCCTTTAGCGATGGTGAAGTCTGCATTCCCATAGGGAAATGAGTTCCACAATACTGATGTGGCCACTGAAAAAAAAAACTGGCCTGGTTATTTCTATCTAGGCTTCCTTCCTTATAGATCCCTGGAGGATGAATGAAGCTCCTGGTTGGTAACATGTAATGGGAAAGTTGTTCCTTTAGGTAAGCAGAACCTGAGCTTAAAGGGAAGTAGCTTGAATTTGGTTTGGAAGTCATCAGAAGCCATTACAACTCAGCAATGGCAGGTGTCACATGTTCCCAGGGAGAAACACTAGGCATAAGCTGGACCTATTGCAGTTTCTGGGTTTCCTTCAACATAAAGCACAGTATAATAATCTGGTTGGAGGATAAGCAGTGCATGGATCACAGAAGAGTGATTATCACTGTCCAAGAGGAGAAAAGTTGGTAGATCCAGCATGGATGAAGGAACTTGCTTCTTCCCAGCACACTCACATGAGCACTCAGGGGACAGCAGAGGGTTGAGAAGTATCCTGAGACTATAAATCTGCTCTTTCATCAGAGAATATTACTCCATCCAGAGCAGATAAAATCCTGTCCAATCAGATAGATTTATTGCCAATACCAAGCCTTCAGTACTGTCTGGATTTAGTTGTAGTTTGTTATGGCTCATCCAGATTGCAATCTAGTTCAAACAGGAGCTGATCACAGAAACCAACACACCTAACCACAATGGAAGAAAACACAGTGGAAACGTAAATGAAAGTTATGACAAAGACAGTAACTCTTTGGTATGTCTTCAATTGTTTGGAGACATTTACTTCTCCATCCATCTTACAAACTTTGTTTTCTCTAACAGGAAATAATGAATGTAGACCACAGTTATGTGAACACTGAATATGGCCTTAGTTCTAAATGGCTAAGTGACTTTGAACATGTAACTACCTATCCATTAACTTAAACTGTGAAATAATAGTGACAACAACAATGACTAACAACTCAGGGTTCTAGTGGTGGCATGCCATACAGAAAATGATAATTAGCCTGCAAATTTTAAAATGAATGAAAATAGCTGTGAATTGTAACCTATCTGGTACATTATTGTCCATTTTTAGACTGAAGGAAGAAAATGTAGATGTAGCAGAATTCTTTGAGCTTTAGTTGCAATCCCCTTCATGAAGGGATCCACTTGATGTTACTTCCCAGGACACCATGGGTGAAGTCCTGTATACTTCTTAAACTCCTACTAAAATCTTGTAAATGTCTGAGTTCTTGTGCAAGATGTCATGTGTTTCCATGATTGGAGGTCTGGAGTACCTCTTGGGGATTTTACCAAGAGTCCTGACACCTACAGAAGCCACACCTATAGATATCACCCTCAGAGATCCTACATTCAATTCTTAGTATGTTCAGATAGATACCATGGACTGTGTGTTAACTTGACATGACATTAAATCAGGGGTTATAAATATGCACTTATTTATATATGTATACCCACATGCAAGCACTATTATCACAGATTCTTGCCTCTTTCCCTCTCTATCACCCTAGTAGTCTATCGCATTAGCAGCAAGAAACTAGTGAACTGAACTGACCTCCTGAAAGTAGCGGGTTAGCTGATAATAGGGACTATATTGCTTCCTACTATTAATGAAAGTAGGAAACCAAGGATCTCTTTCTTGTTGGGCACCCAATTGTGTGGATCAGTTGGCCAGTATGGAAAGCGAACTGTTGTCCCTTTGATCCTAAGAATTGGTGCTCTCCCCTCATAACTATTGCTTTCTATGTACCTTTTAGAATAAGTTTAGGAATAAGCTACATTTTGGGTTCCACTAACTGCATTGGTTGCTGAAACCATGTACACCTGTACCTTCACTAATACACACACAAACACACATATGCCCTGAGCACAATTGACAGAAGCACTGAAGGGAAGGTAGCCTATTCCTCTTCTTTCCAGAGATCTTGCTCCAGTTCATTGGCCACCATAAACCATTGACTCACAATAGGATTGCTGGGGGTGGGGGGAGGAAGAAGGACCTACGAAGAGTAATTTATTTCTGAATAGACATGCATAAGCAGAGATTGATTTGTTCTTGTTAAAGCAGTGTCATTGTACTGTAGAAAAGTGATTGGTTGATTATATGCCATCAAGTCGTTTTCGACTTCTAGCAACCACATAGATAGATAAAATACATTGATACATAGAAAAGTAGAGATGACCTAAATACCATTTTGGAGACATAAGATGTGCTAGTGTTCATGCAGCTCAAACTTTCTTCATTGCAACATCCTCCACATCGGTATACATTCACACAAGGAGGCTTGAAGAATTTATTGGTAGCTGCTCCCAGCTCTTTGGCAACTTCGACGCAGGTCTCCCTTGGCACACACTGAGTCCTTTGCCATTCCTCATCTATAACTGGAAAATACAACCAGTTTTAAAAGCAGGAATAATTATAACTAGATCAATCAGCAGAGTATGCAAATTCTTCAAAAGAGAGGCTTTACAACATACAGGGTACTTTTCTTCTTATCAACGGCATCATTTGCTAAGCTTAGGCAAAAGTTTCCAAAGTTAATTCTGGCTGTCCCCCCATGCTTCCCATCCCAAAGGGACTGGGAATGCACATGCAAGTGGGGCAGTCAGAAGCAGCAGCTTACAAAATAGCTACACCAGCCTGGCAAAAGCACTTTGGCTGCATTACTGATTCAAAAAGAGGGGCTTCCTCTGCACCTCCCCACAGATCATTTGCCTTGCAGCCTCAACAACATAAGAATGGCACCTCATTATGATGTCACTGCACAAAGGAGATCACGGTGGGAAGCAAAGACTATGGCTGACATTGTAAAGTGCCTCTTCCAAAGGATTTGCGTAGCCCTATTAATCAGTGCATATCAATATGCTTCTGGGCCAGTTAGAGCTGGGAAAGATGATGCAGCACTTTGACAGGGCGTAAATATATGGAGGTGGGGTGGGATTTGCAATAAAATGGCACAATGCATAATGCTCCACTCAGGGCTCAGGCAAGTACTCCTTTCTAGAATACACAAACCAATAAATAATAGTTCCATGGCCACTGTGCTATTCTAAGACCTACTGACTCCATAACGAGGGATGCTCACTCCTAAATAGCAGAAACAGAAAGAAAGGTTACCATCAACACAGTTTTTGCCAATTGATCGATTCCCCACCCCCACCCCCACCCCCCTTGATCTTATCTCTGCTCTGCTCCATGCCTTCTCCATCGCTGACATCTTTCTATGGAACAGTATTATCCTGATATCCAAATAGCCCCCTGTCAGCCTTTTGAGGTAGTCCAGACTAGAAACCAATATCATGAGTACTAACACTACCTTACAGTAACAGAACCTTGCAAGTCTGAAAGCACATCTCCCCCCCACCCCGCCCCCCGCCCACCACCCTGCCTTATT